GGGGTTAGGGTTAGCTTGCAGGATTGTGGGGATGAGGGAAGAGAAAGGTTTCGAGAAGGTAAGAAAAGTGCCACATGGGTTAAGCAAGTATATTGTAATCTTTTTATTCTAACTCCCAAGTCATTAGAACCCTCCCAAGTTATTAAAACTTAGTGTTTTTAGAATCTTTGGCTATAGTCTTCAGGAGGTAGAGCAGAACCTCTTGAAGAATGCTAACTCAACCATTTAGACAATTTAAACTTGAATGGTCCATTTAGTACTTTAGCTGAAGATGGCCATCTTAGAGTTGGTGTCATGCGTTAGCAATAAGAGCCACCTCTTGTGAATAGTCTCAAGTAAAAGGTTTATTGTTAGTGACCTATGTTACAGGAATCTCACCAAATTCACTAATTCCCTTGGAAATGTTCAGATAAGGCTTCAGGGATTCTGGGGGAGATAAGGCCTGTATGGTGTTCTGCAATGCAAGGTCTCTAAGCTTGGTACCTTCTTAACACCTCCTTCCAGTCTAGCTGGAGATTCTGCCACAGTTGGTGATAGAATATCCTCCATAACTGAGAGTTCCTTTGATGGAGTTAAATGTATGTCTTTTTCTTATATTGCTTAGAAATCAGCTAGGTTTTTTTTAAATATATTTTGCAACCTGGAGAATCTTCCTTTGCCACCAGTATAGGTGTGAAACTGTATTGCAGGTCTCCTTGGACGAAATTGCTGTTGATTTGGTTAGAATTCACTTAATATTTTTATTGCCATGGAAGTATTTGGGGAAGGAGATGCATTGTTACTCGTGACTTTAGAATCATTCTTGAGAAAGAGTTATAGCTGTTAAACATTAGGTTCATATTGAATGGTGGAAAGAGGTTAAAGGGGGCTTTATATGAAAAATGATAGACAAGTCATATTTTATTTAAAAGATTTGGATGGCTGCCCATTTTAAAACATAACTCTGGGTAGCTCACAACAACAGTAGAACCTCAAACTATAAAAATAAAAAATAAAACCACAAAACACCATAAAATATCTGGTGATATTTTGTTCTTCATAATCATAGTTTTACACTTTTTTATTTTAAAAAAAGACAAATGAGTTGTCCTTGGTTTACCTACATCTTTGTTGGCATATTACTTGTGCAAGCTACTAGATCATGTTCTATACAGTTGAATTATGAGAGGATTGGACATCCATGCTGGATGGTGTTTCAATCCCGATGCAATGTCTTTTGCTAGAATTTATTGCTATGTACATTTCCACATGTGGCTGAGAGTAGATGCAAAATTGATTTTGGGACAAGTAGTCCCAGCTGCTTAATCTTTTCTATTATTTAATAGTCTTAGCTTGCACTTTTCTGAAATACCTGATCTGAACATTGCAGATCTCCCAACCAGTCAAAGAACTGCATTTGATCATAGTGGCTGTCTTCAAGGCAAAGGATGGAGAGGAGTTTAGTGTATAACAGTGGTGGCGAACCTATGGCAGGCGTGCCAGAGGCGGCACTCGGAGCCCTCTCTGTGGGCACACATGCCATTGCCCAGCCTTATTTCCCCCGTGCCCCCCTCCTCACCAGCAGCCCCCCTGGAGGAGAGTTGCCCACGAGCGTGCCCCACGCGGAGCAGCACAGCCAAGGACATGGCAGCCAGGCAGCGTAGACAAGACTTTGCCCTCACGCCCCATCGTGCACAGTTGATGCTGCGGGGTGCGGGCAAAGGGCGTGGCTGCCATGGCGCTGCTGGGCTGCCTGGGCGATTTGCGGTGGGCCCTGGAGGCGGTGAGTGTCCCTGTGGGCAGGCAGGGTGGGGGCAGAGCAGGGGGTGGAGCAGGGGCGGGGCCAGTTTTTGGCCACTCAGTCTCTAAAAGGTTCGCCATCACTGGTATACAGTATAACCACCTTCTAATTAGATACACTATGTTTGAACCAAGTGATCTAAACTGTCAGGATTTATGTCTCTGGAGACATGGTTGTCCCAAAGGTGCTTTTTGAGGAGGCAACTGGACTTTCTTGTTTTTCTTGGAAGACGTTTCACTTCTCATCCAAGAAGCTTCTTCAGCTCTTACTGGATAAGAGGGGAGCCTTCCATTCCCCACCATTCAGTCAGAGCTGAAGAAACTTCTTGGATGAGGAGAGAAACGTCTTCAAAGAAAAACAAGAAAGTCCAGTTGGCTCCTGAAAAACGCACCTTTGGGACTGTCAAAATTTAGATCAGAGTGCCTAAAGCTGTGTTGATTATCTTGATCCAAGTAAAGCCAGGCTGTAGTTAAATCAATAGATATGTTTTAGGTGAATGAGCTTCATACAAAGAATCATCATGAGTATCTGTTTGTGGTATATTATTCTAATGCTCCCTTTTTAAACTGACCGATGCATGTCTTGCAAATTTTCACATTTCATATTTTGTGGAATCAACCTTATACTATTGGAGGTTGAACAAAATGAAGCTAATGATCCATATATAAATACAGTGAACTGTCTTAAACAAGCTATTCTACTACATTTTTCTTTTACTGCTTAATTAACCTTTGTTTTTTTTTTTAAAAAAAAAAGAAGTACTTTTTTTTAGTATACCAAAGTCATACAATGTGATGTTAGGTTTTTTTTGAGAGAGGGCCTCCTCTGTAGGTGCTCACTAATCTCTTTATAGTATAGGTAGCCCTTGGCATATGATCACAGTTGGAACTTGAATCTTGGTCATTGAGTAAGTAGTCATTAAGCGAGACACCCATGTCTACTTATCAGGATTTTATTTTTAATATCAAAATAGGACACTTTGGATCATTTGGGAAATAGCATAAGACATTTCTATAGGGTTATTTATTTAGCATATGGCATATCATACATGGACTAGTAATATATATTAACATTTCATCTAGAGGAGTAGAACACAATGAAATATAAATGTTAAAAAGATCTAAGTTTAAATACCAAGTCTCTAGGCCATCTAACCACTGAAGTGAAGCATCATTTATATTTGAAAAATATCAGATATTTGCCCTCAGCTTACAATCAGTCACAATGTGATCTACAGTTTGATGTGGGACCCTGCAGTCACATGAGGGGAGGATAATATGTCCCATTTATACAGAGTCCTGGCAGGCGCCATGTGAGGTACAAATTTTGTTCAGGATTGTCCATTGTTGATGTGGTAGTTCAAAGCCTGGCACCTTTTTTTGAAGGGTCATTTATGTCACCTTTACTATTTCAGATGACAGTGTTTTTGACAAGTCAATGTTCTCTTATCACTCCAACATACAGACACAAAATAATAATTATTAATCCCCCCCCCAGCCTTTTTACTTTTGTAAGGAACTCGAAGATGGCAAACATCTATGATATTCCTTTAAGTCAAAAGAAGAACAAATTTCATTGAATGGCAAGACCATTTTCCTAACAGTAACACCATTTGGAAGGGAAAATCAGTTAGTCAGAAAAATAGCGTTGGCTGGACATGACCAAGCAGACCTTAAATAGTCATATATCACAAGTACTTTCATCTGAATGACTGCATTGAGTAGAAAATGGGATTTAATAACCTCAATGGCTCCTGCCAACACTCAGAATTTATGACGACTATCAACATTCATATTTTTGTGGAGGGACCTGGGTTGTAGCATCAACTGCTATTGGTATTTTATTTGTGTGTCATTTATGTCATAATATATTAGAATTGCTGAGTAATAAAATTAAGAACAAGCTGCTACTGAAATTGAACTCCCATCATTGTTAAAGTTTAGAAAGGAACTTTAAACATATTTACCCAGAACTTTTAATGTTCCTCTTTTACTCTAAGTTTTTGTGTCTTTTAAGCTGTTAATGTTATTGTCGTAGACATTTTTAGTGATAGTAAGTCTTCCAAAGCCAATGAGAGATTGAGCAGAATGTAAATTTTCTAAACAACACTTAATAGCAGTGATTATCCTGATATTTTGAAGGTACAGTAAGTTAGACCAGTGGTTCTCAACCTGTGGGTCGGGACCCCATTTGGGGTCAAACAATCATTTCACGGGGGTCGCCAAACAAGGCTGTCCGCCATTTTCCCCCCTTTTCTTTGGCCACGCCCCTGGCACCCGGTGGTGTATAAGTGGTTGGGGGTCACCACAACATGGGGAACTGTATTATGGGGTTGCGGCATTAGAAAGGTTGAGAACCACTGAGTTAGATCTAGATGTGGCTGTAGGAAATGTGACTCCTGTAAAAGCTAATAGCATCTGTATATATATATATATGGGGGATGTGTACGTGTGTTTGTGTATACACACACAAACACCACAATAGTTAACTTTCAGTGACTTAGTGTTTTGTGCCTAAGCCATAAAATCTTTATAATGCTAGCTGTTTGTTAAAAAAATGTCCAGAGAGATCATATTTTTATTAAAATATAGCAGTATATAAAACTGACCTGTAAATGAATAAAATAATTTTAAAGATACAACTTAAAAGGTTTTCTAGTCCGTAGGTGAGAATTATGCTTGGCAGAGAAAGAGCATATGGAAGTCTGAGTCAGCTAGTAGAACCACAGATTGCATGAGGAAACCCGGAAATATCATAGAAGCAAAACACTGATACATGTCTGACTTGCTCCTTTTTGACCCCAAAACCTCAACCATCAAATCACAGCTTCCAGAGGATCTGCATTGAGGATACAGAAATGTGAGAACCTGTGATTGAACTTGGATTTAGGGATTATTTCGGTTTGTTATTGCTGTACTATCCTCCCTGTTGTGCTGTGACATTCCTGTCTGATTTGGTGCTGGGTCTCAAGATTGATAATCTTAAGTAATTTCAGCTTGTCCTCATGTGGCATTGCGTTTTGGGAGCAGCTCAGCAGTTAATGGCCCCAATGGAAACCATGGATCAGTTAAGAGGTCATGAAACCTCTAAACATAAATCTTTTGTAACCACATTTCTTATCTCTCTTTTTTCTTACCAACATTGTTTTCATCACCACTTGTTTCAAAAGCTATGCTGGTAATAAAATAATCATTACGTGTTTGTTTGTTCTTGCCCTCAGGTATCTTTGAATGTTTTTGAATGGTGCAGAAGTTGGCAGCTTGAAAGTCATTTCAGTTCTGGTTTGGTTGCAGCACATGAGTGCTTGTAGATGCAATCTGCTTCAGTAGGAAATGCTCCTAGAACTGGCAAATGCCTTAAGAAGAGACTTTTTATCTTTCCTGGTAAGTAGCAAAATCAGGATGATCAGAAAACAAAGAGCGGGGGAAAAAAAGAGAATCAGTTATTTAATTAATTAAATAGCTGAATTAAAATGTCAATATTAAGTACTCTCCTGAAGAATGTGTATTGTTTTATAGATATTAGACGAGATATCATCACATATCAGATTAATATCAAAAGCAGATAACAAAGACACGTGGATGCTAAAAACAAGCCTTTGCAGATTATAAAATCGCACCTATTATTTATACGACATATGCATGAGTGTTACCTAATTGGGTAATGAAACATCTGCAAGCAAACAACCAAGCTCAGAGAGCACCTAGGACTCCGCAGTTCAACCCTGAGCTATATATATATATATATATTTTTCTTTGAAACCCAAATCCTAAGCATGTTCATGTGGGACAAACCAGTTCCATGTGTAGGAGGCAGTCCTGAAGATACCCGAGAGCCAAGCCATCTAGCTGTTAAAGTTAATTTCAGCCTTTTGGATTGTCCCTGAAATCCTACTTGAAACTAATACAGTGACCCCAACACAAGCAATATATGGTTCTCATCCACCACATGGGTCTCTGCACTGGACACAATAGCAGTTTCTAGATGGATTTCCAAATAACCCCACACAGAACGTGTTGCAGTAATCCATTCTAGTTGTGGTGAGTGTGAGTTGTCAAGATCTCCTGCTTCAGATACCCTGGCCACGGCACCCGCCTGTCAATCCAGCAATAACTGGGAGTCTTCCAAATTTCAGATCCGCTTTTTCAACTGAAGTGGCTCTTTGTCAGAATTAGAACAGAAACAGATCAGGAATCAAAATGCATTCTGGATTGAATTTTTTTTTTCCTAGCGAGAAAAGGAAAAATAAGTTTGCCTGGAAAAGACTTTTAAAAAAATTATCTGAAAGAATAATATTAATTAAAATGATGCAACTGTGAGAGCAGTAAAATCACTATTTTGTATTTTAGATAGTTGAGTTGATGGAAGAACTGAGAGAGTGTAAAGCAAATCTTTATTGTATACAAACCTGCTGCTTCTGATCTAATTAACTGTCTTTTAAGTAATTTAACAGCACTTCATTGAAAACATCTAGGACTTTTCATATCCCCCCCCCCTTTCTTTTTAAATAGACTTAGTTGCAATGAACACCAGGCTAGATTGGATCACCTACCTGTGTTTTGTGTTGCCTTTTTAGGTGCAGTGTAATATTATGTGCCTTGCAAGCAGAGCTCACAGAGGTCAAAATGGTGTATGGTGAATTCTTCCACAGACCAGGACAAGATGAGGAGCTTGTCAATTTGAATGTTGGTGGTTTTAAACAGTCCATTGGTCAAAGTACATTGCTCAAGTTTCCTCATACGAGGCTTGGGAAGCTACTCAGGTGCCACTCAGAAGAGGCTATTCTGGAACTCTGTGATGATTACAGTGTGGCAGACAAGGAATATTACTTTGATAGGAACCCTTCTTTGTTCAGATACGTGTTGAATTTTTATTACACAGGTAAACTCCACATTATGGAAGAACTCTGCGTCTTCTCCTTTTGCCAGGAAATAGAGTACTGGGGGATCAATGAACTCTTCCTTGATGCTTGTTGCAGTAGTCGCTACCAAGAAAGAAAAGAAGAATGTCCCGATAAAGAATGGGATCAAAAAAGCCCAGGGGGGAGCCTAGATTCTTCCGATGATGAGACGTCTTCCATATTTGAGAAGGAGCTTGAGAAATTTGATAAACAGTGGTTTGGAGAGTTGCGCAAGAATATATGGATCAGAATGGAGAACCCTGCGTACTGCTTATCCGCCAAACTGATTGCTGTGTCTTCCCTAAGCGTGGTCCTAGCATCTATTGTGACCATGTGCATTCACAGCATGCCAGAGTACCAGAAGGTGGGTGTCAGGGACAAAGAGGTTGAAAACCCGATTCTGGAAGTTGTGGAGCTCATATGCATCGTCTGGTTCACCTCTGAGCTTATGATCAGGTTGGCTGCTGCCCCAAGCCAGAAGAAGTTCTGGAAGAACCCACTGAATATCATTGACTTTGTATCTATTCTTCCATTTTATGCCACTCTGGCCGTCGACACCAAAGACGAAGAAAGTGAAGATATTGAAAACATGGGGAAAGTGGTTCAAATTCTACGCCTAATGAGGATATTCCGCATATTGAAACTAGCGAGGCATTCTGTTGGATTGCGGTCCTTGGGTGCGACCTTAAGGCATAGCTACCATGAAGTTGGACTTTTGCTTTTGTTTTTGGCTGTTGGGATTTCTATTTTTTCCGTTCTGGTCTACTCAGTGGAAAAAGACAATGACAGTTCAGAGCTGAATAATATCCCTATTTGCTGGTGGTGGGCCACAATCAGCATGACCACCGTCGGCTATGGGGACACCTTCCCAGTTACCCTCGGAGGAAAGATTATCGGCACAAGTTGCATTATCTGTGGAATATTAGTGGTAGCTCTTCCTATCACTATCATTTTCAACAAGTTTTCAAAATACTATCAAAAGCAGAAGGACATCGACACCGATCAGTGCAATGACACTCCCAAGGAAAAGACAAACGATCTCCCGTATTTTAACATTAGGGATATTTATGCAAAAAGGATGCACTCCTTTATTTCTAGCCTTTCTTCAGTAGGAATTGTAGCCAGCGATCAAGATTCAACAGATGCTTCCAGTATTCAAGATCTTGATGATGTTTATAACGCAACATCTTTGCAGAATGGTACAGGAAAATGAGTTGAATCTCTCTCTATTTCTTTACTGTTTCCTTCTAATATCAGCACAGCTTTTATACAGGCCACCTAATTCTCAGGGTATTTAATTCTCTGCCATATTAGGGCATTTTTTTTGCTCTGAAGATGTCGCACATTCTTTACTGTTTAGATGAGGCTTAAGGATAGACAAATGGTGGTTTAGCTTTTACATGACATAGGAAAAAGGCATTGAATGTTTGTTTCTGGACTTACATTTATTAAAGTATGGTTTGGATTGATGTCTCCAGAGAAAGGGAGAATTGTGGGCAACAAGGAAATGTGCCCTAGTGAAATGGAATTCTTATATGCAGATATTCTTGGAAATATAAGTTCAGATGAAAACCTATTAATGAGGGTGACAGATGCTCTTAATGTCAATCATGGGTACCTGCTAGCACAGTAACCCGTATTCCAGAAAGGGGCTTCATTTCTCAGCCATACCTTTGTTAGGATTCCTTAAACTTACAAAAGCCTCAAGTGTTAATCAACAACCCCAAGCGAAGAGATAAGTTTCTGCTTCCCATTTATAAAATGCAATGTATAGCTTCATATTCATCTTGCGATGTGTAGGCATCAAACCTGCATGCCTGGTCATAAGAGATTGATACATTATGTCTCCTAGGCAGCCACTTGGACTTCTATTATGCTGCTTGAATCTGCTTTCTCAACCTTGTGAATCAGATTGTGGTAACAATGGGAGTGTCAGCTTGTCAGTTCACTGACCTTGAGACTTTTTTTTAACCTAAGATAGCTATAAGGATCCTCAAAGCCATAGTTTGCTTGCTAATCTGTACAATCCAGATCAATTTCTCATGGTTACTGAGAATAAACCACGTAGCATCCTTTGAATCAGCAGACCAGAACTGTATAACATGAGGTGAATTTCAGGACTCTCACTGACCCACTTTAAAACCCCACCTTCCGATCAGTTCACATGGCTCTGTTCTACCACGGCTACTTCTGCTTTGGCTACTGGGGAGAATAGAATAATACTTGGCAACCAAGAGGTTTCGATTTGTTTGCTCAGGAAGAGTAAGGAGCTCATGGAAGAGTTTCCATGAAGTCAGTATTTACCTTTGTGCACAATAATTACTAATTCCATTGTTTGTCCTAGTTCTGAGCTCCACATTTGCATCCTTCCTACTTCCTCCTAGTAATAGAGCTGCTGCTGTTGTCACTACTGTACGTCACAAGTTGCTCCAGCCCATAAAGGCAAAGTTGCTTATCAGGTTCTAGGTGGCCCCAGGTACCTACTACTGACCAGGCACCACAAGTTGCCATCTGTGGTTCCAGGACCAGAAAAGAATGAGGTGGTGATGGCTGTATTTGCAGTACAGTAGGGCCAATTACATGGGTAGTGGAGAGGCAGTGCATCCAGACAACCCTATTGAGGTTTCCAGTGCCTATCCCCGTAGAATTGCTGCCCAAGCCTGACCCATACATGGCAACAAACCTGGGGAGAGGACAGGAGGCTGCAAAGGTTTTGAGGTTGACCTCCTTTTCTTCTTTATTGAGCCCCAGTTGTTTCTCTTGCTAATTTGGATCCAGGTCTACTTGAGGGAATTCATTCCTGTACAATAAATGTGATGATTCTTTTTCAGAAAAGCACAATGTCTCTTCTTTCTCTAGTGTAGTGGACTTTGTCAAATAGCTGAATAAGCCTGGATGTCAAATTGTACTCTTGCATTGTGAGGAGTGTTGTATCTTCTCAACCTATGTGTTTTGTTTTGGTAATGGTGACTGGATCCAGGATGATTCAGGGAGAAGCTAGTTCCATTTTTTTCTGTACTGATAACATGGAAGGCATTCATTGGGAGCTGCTACAAATGGAGGAGTGGTACTGCCTTTATTGTTTATGGCATTGTCATTCTAATAGATTGACATCAGCCAACTAGTGTCTGAAGTCTTGGGGAATCCTTGTAAGATGTCATTTTACCCGATGAGCTCATACATAGAAAGCAAAAGCTTTTAAAGCACAGGTGTCGAACTCGTCACGTGATGTGTTGTGACGTATCGTAATTTTTTTCGCATTGCCGGAGCACGGCCTCCGCATGATGCAACTGGCCTGTGGGCCAGCAGTTTGACACCCTTGTTTTAAAGCAAGAGAACCTATTGCAATACACTTTCTGCAACAGAATGACCAGGTCCCAGTGCTGCATTTGTGGCAGCCAGAGTGTGTGACCAGTCCCCAGCAATACTCGTCTTCTGCTCATCTCCTATCTCAATCTGCCTGTGTTTGAAAGGGCCAGTAAGTGTTAAAGAGAAGTAACATTATTTATCATTTTATCAACTAGAAAACCTCAAGGTATTGTTAACCTAGCTGTAAGCGTTCTTGCTCTAGTATTTGCAAAAATTATCCCAACACACAAAACTAAAACAAAAGCAAAAAACAACAATCTACTGTGGAAGTGCAAGAATAAGTGAGATGTTGTCTGACTTGCAGTGAAATACATATGCATTTTCTTATAAAGTCACCAGAGTTAAAGGAAAACATTACTTTGTAGAAGTTAGAGGGATATTATGATTATATTTCTCTATACTGCAAAACGGTCTCTCCCAATCTCTAATACATTGGTCCAGTATTTTTGAATTCTAAATTACTAAAGTTAATACACATTGGCTACTGATATGGGGTCAAAAGTTAACATAGCATAGCAGCTCCTTCTCTTTTGCCAGTTGTGATTGTGCAAAAAATGACAACGTTGGTGAATTACATCACCTTCTTCAGCTGCATACTGTAGTAGAAAGAACAATCTTCCTTATGCCTTATAGAAATTGAAATAGGGAAAGTCTCCCCCATCTTTTTTTTCATGATTGAGTGTTGTTCCTTTACTAATTAAGATAGATATTGTCCCTTATCACTTTGCTATAAGTCTTTCCTTCTTCCTAGGTTACAATGTTGAACTGCCGGGGTCAGTAAAGATTAAATTTCAACTCAACCACAACGTTTCCTTGATAACATTGAACCAGTTAGGACAGGGGTCTTCAAGCTTGGCCCTTTTATGACTTGTGGACTTCAACTTCCAGAATTCCTCAACCAGCATGTCTGGCTGAGGAATTCTGGGAGTTGAAGTCCACAAGTCATAAAAGGGCCAAGTTTGAAGACCCCTGGATTAGGATTTCCCAGGCATATCTACTTGCAACTTGTTATATCTTAATGGGGAGGGTGGGGGGAGAATAGCATTTAATCTTTCTAACAGTAAAACAAATAATTCATACATATTGACTCCACCTGTTCATGACATCATAATGTCACTAAGTACATCTCCAAGGCCCCCAGGCAGAGCACAGAAAACTGAACCATCTGGATTTGAAAGAACATAAACCCTCTACCAAATTTCATGTCTACTCTATCATGAAACTCAAAAGAGTTTTTGGCTGAGCTGACTGAGCTCCCAGCATATCTGGAGGGCAGCAGGTTGAGAATAACTGATTTAGGTTCTTGCTTTTATTCATACTTGACATATTTTCTTCAGTGAATCCCATATTATCTGCATACTAAATGTATTACTCTACATCAGGGGTTCTCAACCTTGGCAACTTTAAGACTTGTGGACTTCAACTCCCAGAATTCTTCAGCCAAGCTTTGCTGGCTTAAAGTTGCCAAGGTTGAGAACCCCTGCTCTACATAATAGTGCTGGTTATGTTAGATTGCTGACCTCTTTTAATTCAAATTACCTGAGCAATTAATATTCATTGCATAGTCCACTTTTCAAAATGGTAATTTCTACAAGTGGAATAATAAGTTCTGTTGTTGAAGATTCATGTATGTTCTATCTAGTCAGGTTATAGAACAGAGAGAACGTGCTGGATTCAGTGATACACACATATTATTAATCATTAAAGTTGTCAAATCTTTAGCTGAATTCTGGAAGCTTTTCACCACTAGGCACAACACTGTTAAATATGTCATAATTTTAAGGAAATATTCCTTTAAAAAATTCCCCTTCTTTCAACTGTCTCCTTCATTAATTTTACAAAAATTTATCCACAAATTCAAATCCTGTCCACCTGCATCATGAGAGGCTGGCCATTGTGTGTAGCTGCTAGCAGGTTGCTCCTTCCTGGGCTACGTGAAGGTGGTTTTGAGACAGGATTAACAAGACTTCTGGTAGCAGCAGGTTTTCAGTTAGTAGTCTAAAGTTTGAGTCAGGGATGTCCAACCTTGTCAACTTTAAGACTTGTGGACTTCAACTCCCAGAATTCTGGCTGGGGAATTCTAGGTGTTGAAGTCCACATGTCTTAAAGTTGCTAAGGTTCGACATCCCTTCTGTGGATCTTTCAAGCAAAAGCAGAAAGAGCATATATATATGTATGTATGTATATATGTATGTCTTTGGTTATTCGGGTTTTCTCCCGTGTCAAATTGGAAGTGTCTTGGCGACGTTTCGACGAAGTCTCATTCGTCATCTTCAGGCTGGTGTTTTCGGCTTTGTGCTTCTACGAGCAATGTGTGATCGTAGCTGTTTCTTCCTTTTAACTGCCAGTGGGGGGTAGTATGAACTGATTGGATGAGAGCTTGGCTGTGTTCTGATTGGATTGAGGTGTGTTCTGATTGGTTAGGAGCTTGGCTGTGCTCTGATTGGATGGGGGGGTTGGCTGTGCTCTGATTGGATGGGGGGTGGCTGTGCTCTGATTGGATGGGGGAGTGTTCTGTTTGGGGGGGGTTGTTGTGCTCAGGTTAGTCTGAGTTGCATGGGGATGTGAGATGGTGAGCTGCATTGCTATTGTTTGGCTTAATTGTTAGTCCTAGAAGCACGAAGCCGAAAACACCAGCCTGAAGATGACGAATGAGACTTTGTCGAAACGTTGCCAAGACACTTCCAATTTGACACGAGAGAAAACCCGAATAACCAAAGACCTACATACAAACACCCGCGAAAACCTCAGAAAACAAATATATATATATATATAATATATGTGTGTGTGTGTGTATGTATGTGTGTGTGTATGTATGTATGTATATATG